CTATTGTAGGTCTGATATTCATGAATATTGCACATTAATTGAGCTGCTGAAATTTATCTTGGAAAATAATCTAGATGATGTTTTTAGTGAAATTATGAAACTGATAAAAATCCTCTTGACAGTCCCCATGACTACATCAGAGGCAGAGCGCTGCTTTTCAACATTGAAAAGAATAAAAACTTTTCTAAGAAGCACTATGAATTCAGAAAGACTAAATGCGCTTGCAGTGCTTTCAATGGAGAAAAATTTCCTGTTGTCATCCAGAGATCAAGGAGAAAATTACTGATCTTTTCGCGCAAATTAAAACAAGAAGAATGGATTTCATTTTTAAATGAATAGATTAAGCTTGAACTGTAACAATTTAGGTTAAAGTAAGTAAAAAATGTTTGATTTTGTTCTTTTAGGATTTTATCAAGTTTCTGACTAAATTTTCTTTTTATACATGTTTCTTTCCTTTTATAGAATTTTAAAACAAAGGCTAAATATTTTCTGGAGCAGCACCCCCACTAATTTTAGCTATGAGCCGCCACTGCCTGGGATATTGCAAGGACAATGCAAAAGAGATCATCATGTTCTGAGCATAATTCAAAACTGACAACAATTATGGGGCTTATCATATTAAAAAGGATGAGATGGATGGGGATGTAGCATGCATGGAGTAGATAAGAAATGATAACAAAATTTTAGTTTGGAAAATGAAGCTAACAGATGTAATGGGAGAGATGGGAAGATAATATTAAAATGGATATTGAAAAACGTGGTACTAGTTTGGGGACTGAATTCAATTGGCACAGCAGAGGGTCAAGTGATGGTGACTCGTCAACTTGAGTTATGAAGCTCCCGGTTTCCATAAAAAGGGAGAAACTTTATGACCAACTGAGCCACTGTCATTTTATCAAGAAGGTCTTTGCTTCATGAAGTCAGGTTCTGTCTAGTTTGGCAGATGCCTCCAGATGCTGGTGACAGCATCACATTCCAACAGACCACAATCCGACCACCCTCTGCTATGGGAGCCTCAAGTCTCACACATGCGAGTCTGTCTTTCGTGACGCTCATTTTGTCTGTGACGTGAGAATGGGAAGCACTGAAGGTCTAGTAGAAGGTAATCTTCTACTACCTACTGCAACTGCTGCTGTGCTATTACTGTTACTGCTACTACCACTTCTACCACCACCACCACTACTACTACTACTACTACTACTGCCAATACCACTACCACCAACATGACTACTCCTACTTCTACTGGTTCTACAGCCCAGCCCAGTTTGGGCTCTCGCTGCTTATTTCAGTTTCTTAGTCATATAGACACTTGTTGGCACTCCTGGGCAAGAAATCAGCCAATTGCAAGGCTGCTACCTACGCAGGACAACACAAACACAGAACAAACATAGGCAGACATCCATGCCTCGAATGGAATTCAAACCCATGATCCCATGTTTGAGTAGGCGAAGACACTTTATGCCTTAGGCCAGCCAGCCAGATGAAATCAGTCCTTATAATTTTTTTCATTATACTATATATTCACATAACCCGCGTCGATGTGGTATACCTTACTTGGTAAGGTAAATTTGTTCCTGTGCTTAACAGTGTGCTATGCCATAAAGATATATTGGAGAGTGAAGGTATAGCTCCACCATTCTTGATCTCAGAACTACATGGGAGTGGTCTGCTTCACAACCGGGTCGCTTTATCCCCGGGGAAAGAGTCCGAGGTACTCATTGGCCCCAGAGCCAGTCTGAACATTATTGAGAGAAAAATCTTTTGCTCTTGTCGGGAATTGAACTCTGGCCGTCCAGCCCATAGCCTGTCGCTATACCGACGGTCTGAATAAGGAAGTTAGTGCTAGGTACAGCAGTAGGAGTGGCTCTGACTTTGCTTTTCCTCCTACAGCTTCATTATTCCCTCCGCTGGTGTAACAAAAGTTGATAATCCCTGACGGTGTACTGAGGGTTCGAGATGGGACAGAGGGAACAAGAAGGCAAGTCTTGTTTTAATGTGTACTGACCAGCCAAGGAAATACTTCCAATACGTTAGGAGAATGATGCACACTGGTACTGCCAGAACGAAATGCCATACAGTAACGCCCGTCTTGGGGCTTCCCACCGCGGCGGCCCGGGTTCGATCCCGGGTCTAGTCAAGCGGGATTTGTGATGGACAAAGTGGCGCTGGGGCAGGTTTTCTCTGAGTACTTCGGTTTCCCCTGCCAATCTTCATTCCACCAATTGCCCCACAATCACCCTCACCTATCATCTTGGGCTGGTACAATAGGCCAGAAGTGGCCGCAGTACAAGGGACTTAGTCCCACCCCACTAGCAATAAAAAGAAAAACATCAAAGGCGATGAAAGAATGTAAAAAATATTTTGCACTTAATTTTTCTTCTCTCAGAACAGGCTCCTTGCCTTTTTCCATTTCGAATTAGTTCTGAAACTATGAATCCTCATACAATTGATATGACTTCTTAAAGCAAGAATCGTCCCAGTGAAAGGCCTTTACCGATACAGGAGACAAAACAACAAAGAACATGTGGACACACAATTTTGTACATCTATGCCTGTAGCGGGGTTTGAAGCGGCAATTTAGACCGCGCGTCCACTGTGATCGGATAACTTTATAAACTTATTCTTGATTAACAAGTGTAACTCCCGTTACGTAAGGTTCTGTACTATTAATTTCTTCTCTTTTTCCCGTATTCTTTCCAGCCCTTTACCGAATGACACGTCGAGGCTGACATTTAACACCATCTCCCATGTATAATACCAACAATCAATAGTAAGGTGACACTGTATGTCACATATCCACATCAAAATATTACCAATACTCACGCAACAGGCACGATACACTGAAATAAGACTGTTCGCTTGTTCGTGACCTATTATATAACTTACGTTCATGCAACGTGTTTAATACTCGACAGTTTGTTGAGCCTTCACTTCAGTGATATATTACACATACATACATAATACATATACAGGATGCCGATCACAGTGGCCGAGCGGTCTAAGGTATGAACCGTCTTCGTCCGCTCAAACACTGGGGTAGTGGGTTCGAATCCCACTCGAAGCATGGATGTCTGTCTGCGTCTATTCTGTGCTTATATTGTTCTGCGTGTAGCGGTCTTGCGACGGGCTGATACCCCGTCCAAGGAGCCCAACCAATTGTATATAGGATTAATAAACTGAAAACGCGACCAAGGCGCAACAGAGGGCTGTAGACATGATAATAACATATACAAAATGCCCTAGAACGGCGTGAAAAGAAGGAACATTCATAAACGGAAAAATATTTATTACACATGTCAAGCGATCTCAGAACTTAACATTATTTTATCACCCAGAAAGTTCCAGTGTGAGCACCATCGGATGCTCGAAACGTCGAAACGAAATTCGAGCTTGCACCACGCGCTCAGAAGCACAACTTCGGCCAACGTTGCAACCGCCTCTACTATGCGATGTAACATATCGGACATATTGTATGTAACAAGATACGTGTACGTGTACCCAAAAGAAACCGAACTATTTTTTTTTGTGGGCAGAGCTTTTGTAGTACCGCGTTTTGCCGCTGTGAGCGCATAGAGCTAACATTCCTGAGTCGATAAGCTGACTACCGTTGCTTCAGAAGGTAAGGACTAGTTTCAGCAGAGTTTATAGTGACAACTGTTTTGTGTGAACGTCGTTTTCGCAATGGCTGATTTTCGTGCGGCGATGGAATTCTGCTTTTTGCTCGGGAAAAGTGGAACAGAAACTCTTGAAATGTTAAAAACGATGCTATGGGGAAAACTCCAGTGTTTGAGTGGTTTTCCCGTTTCAAAAATGGTGAAATGTCAATTGATGACAAACCTCGTTCTGGTCGTCCTTCCACGGCCCGAACACATGAAAATGTTGAAAAAATTCGTGAAATCATCAAGGAAGATCAATGACGGACCACTGAAGAAATTGTGGAGCTGTCAGGAGTGACTTGGAGCTCAGCGGCCAGATTTGTGGCAGTCGGGTGACTGGTTTTTCCATCATGACAATGACCCTGCTCACACAGCCCTGTCTGTACGACAATTCTTGACCAAAAATGGTATGACCCTCTTCCTCACCCTCCATACTCACCCGACCTTGCCCCGTGAACTTTTTTTTTCGTTTCCTCGAATGAAAAGAGACATGAAAGGAAAAAACGACGGAGGCGCTGTCAAGCATCTCAAAAGATGAATTTAGACAATGTTTTGAAAAATGGAATAAAAGACTAGACAAGTGTATTAGTGTAAGTGGAGAGTACTTTGAAGGGGATTGAAGGTTTGTGCTTAAAATTTGAATAAATAAGTTTAAAAAAATAAGTTCGGTTTCTTTTGGGTACCCCCTCGTATGTACCTCTTACCTCCTCACAAACAGATCTATTGAGTTTCTTCTTCTTTTTCAACTTCTTTCCGTGTGACTTCTTATCCTTCTTGTCTTTATGCTTGCGAACAGCTCCGGACGTCATGACTATGCGTGGAGTAATGGGTTAGATCAACAAAGCTGCAAAGAAACACAAATTAGTCATCGGAAAAACAGTACGTCCGGAGTAAAATAAACTGGAGCATGAGAATGCATAGCAACGTGGGTCATTATAAGAAAACTGCACTGCAGGCTTCTTGTGTCAAATGTTGTGGGCGTTACTACGTGGCCTGTAGTCCGCAAGAGAACTATACCGACCGAGCGACCGCCGCTTGTCGGCGAAGTTAGTGCCAACTTTTGCGGATAGGGGGCGTCGCGTTTTCTATACCGGAGCCGCTATTCCCTTCAAATAGTTCCTCAATTATCCTCACGAGGATGAGTGGACCACGTTCCAGACCCACTACTTCTCAGAAAAAATGGTAACGCCTGGAATGTTACAACGGATGATAAATGGCCTATTTTTATTAATGACGAGTTCGGAAAGATAAGTCAGGTAACGGCCGTTCCCAGTTTCAAAATGAGTCTACTATGCTGATATTTACTTCGTGGGACTGAGGTAAATCACGGGACCGTCATACGATATTCAACCCCGGCCAGGAATCAAACTTTCGTAGCAAGTATGTGCAGTTCCAGATTTAGTATAAAAACCATTCAGGCCTACTATATATCTTCTGCTGTATGCTTTACGTCGCGTTAGGGAACAGAAATTTATAGCAACTCAAAAATGACACTACGTAAAAATTCACATGTTTTCGTGCCTGTCTGTACGCGAATTCCAGCGACTTGGAAAATACACTGTAACGTCGTAATTCCCAGTTCTTTCGGGAATTGAATGCCACTCAAATCGTCACTATGAGAATTTACAACGCGACTATCTCGAACCGAAAGCATGATGATGGAAATAGTCTGCCAGTGTGGGAAGAGACATGCGTTAGGCAATGTCTTTGCGCGAGGGCCGTCGACCCATCCGGAGCAATCCTACTGGAGTAAGTCCACGCTCGGGCCGCGCCACAGCTCAAGCGGTTAGTCGTTAGCTTCCGAACGCGGCGGCCCGGGTTCGATCCGGGGTGTGGTCAAGTGGGATTTGTGGTGGGCAAAGTGGCGCTGGGGCAGGTTTTCTCCGAGTACTTCGGTTTCCCCTGCCAATCTTCATTCCACCAATTGCTCCACAATCATCCTCACCTATCATCTGGGGCTGGTACAATAGGCCAGAAGTGTCCGCAGTACAAGGGATTTAGTCCCATCCCATTAGCAATAAAAAAAAAGTCCACGCTCGGCTACAGTATCTCTAACCACAGCAAGCGGCACACCTCACTCAGCATCACCATGGGGGGGGGGGGCTATCCCTGCAACAGACCGTGGAGGCCCATAGGGTTGTGAGACTTCGAGGCTCCCATATTTTCTAAACAACTGGCTTATAGATGACGGTGAGGTTGTCAGCCTTACGTGCCGGCCGCCATTTAACCACCCCGAAGATTCCTGGTACTCATTTCCGTTAGAGGATGAGTCGACTCCAGGGCCACAATGCGTTTGGAAGGGTTAGATCAAATGAAAAATCGAGTGATCTTATCAGGAATGGATCCCGCGACCTTCTGTCTTGCAGCATAGTGCTCAACCAACTACGCTACCTCATGCCTATGGAGAGAAACGATAATGAAATTGGTAAGTTATTTTAAAAACATAACCTAAAGCGGGGAACACTGCCTGTAATTCTGGCCGTCGGAAGAGAGACGCAAGCGTGCAATTACTTTCCTTCCCTCTGTGAGCACACGGTACGTTGTATGCCTTCCCACTAACATCTCTGTTCCGACTGGCAGTCCTCATCCGTAGACATTAGCAAGGGTGGGACACTGACAATGAATCCTGACATATTTCCGAATGCACCAAATTTATCCTTCATGTGTTCTTTTTGCGTTTTACTTTTAGAGAGAGAGAAAAAAAAAAAAAAANCAAACTCCGTGGGCTGTAGCCCGCAAGCGAACTATACCGACCGAGCGACCGCCACTTGTCGGCGAAGTTAATTTTTTTAATTTGTTTAAAAAACACACAAACTTTAATTGACGCAAGTAAGGAGGTTGGTCTAGAAGTAAACACAGAGAAAACTAAGTATATGTTGCTGTCTTGTCACCAAAATGCAGGGCAAAATCATGATATAAAGATAGGTAACAGAGGTTTTGAAAATGTGGCACAGTTCAGATATTTTGGAACAACGATAACAGATCGAAACCTGACTCAGGGGGAAATTAAGAGGAGACTGAACTCGGGTAATGCTTGCTACCATTCAGTCCAGAACCTTTTGTCTTCTAGTCTGTTGTTCAAGAACATAAAAATTAGAACACATAAAACTATAATTTTGCCTGTGGTTCTGTATGGGTGTGAAACTTGGTCTCTGGCATTAGGGGAGGAACATAGAGTGAGAGTGTTAAGGAGGATATTTGGACCGAAGAGAGATGAAGTGACAGGAGGTTGGCGAAAACTGCATAATGAGGAGCTTCATAACTTGTACTCTTCTCCAAGTATAATTAGAATGATCAAGTCAAGGAGGATGAGGTGGACAGGACATGTAGCACCAATGGGGCAGAAAAGGAATGCATATAGGATATTGATGGATAGCCAGAAGGAAAGAGCCCACTGGGAAGAAGAAGAGGTAGGTGGGTGGACAATATTAAAATGGATATCAGAGAGATAGGATGGGATGGCATGGATTGAATTGGCTCAGGATAGGGACCACCAGTGGAGGGCTATTGTGAACAGGGTAATGAACCTTCGGGTTCCATAAAATGGTGGGAAATTCTTGAGTAGCTGCAGAATTGGCGGCTAATCCAGAAGGGCTCAGCTCCATGCCGAGTGGACCCAGTTGGACTCCACCCCCCACTACTTACTTTTTTTATTGCTAGTGGGGTGGGATTAAGTCCCTTGTACTGCGGCCACTTCTGGCCTATTGTACCAGCCACAGATGATAGTTGAGGGTGACTGTGGAGCAATTGGTGGAATGAAGATTGGCAGGGGAAACCGAAGTACTCGGAGAAAACCTGCCCCAGTGCCACTTTGTCCACCACAAATCCCACTTGACCGGACCCGGGATCGAACCCGGGCAGCCGCGGTGGCAAGCCAGCGACTAACCGCTTGAGCTATGGCGCGGCCCTGTCGGCGAAGTTAGTGCCAACTTTAGCAGATAGAGGTTGTCACGTGTTCAGCGCAACGGATCCCCACGGCCGTTAATCCCGGTTTTCTTAAGAGACTAATCTGCTTTCCTTAACAAACCCGGTTCTATCAGATCCGGGCTGACATGTTATTACTTTGTTTCCTTTGCAACGTGCTGCCCTCATTCGACAATCATGCCACATGCATTTCAAGCACTTTCTTCCAGAACAGAAACATTTTTCAATGTCATCTGAAGGACAGAGGCTTTGCCTTGTCCTAAGATATTACATCTCCTGTTGCAACTACAGCCCTACCTTCCATATAAAATTTCTTTCGTCGTTAGTATCTATATTTCAAACCAAAGTTCCTTAATATTGTCACATGACCGGGGTTCCGTATAATGGGTTCTGGATTGAATGATTGGATTTATTGACGCCTTCTTCTCTCTTAATCACAGTCAATTATTGCGCTATCGCTAATCTACCCACTTCACAGATCACAAGGACACGCTCCATCCTCGTTCTCGTACTCCGCTGTACTCCCCTGTACTCCTTCAATGACTACGTTGTGCTTCTGACTCCTTCAATTCTCTCGTTCTTCCGTAACAATTCTCTTACAGACACCAAGAATTACTGACTGACTGACCGTCAGTCGCAATGTGACTCTGACTTTGACTAAGGAACTCAGCTGAAGGCTGACAGTCACCGAGTACAGTTGAATTGTATCTAGTGAATGGAATCAAGACAGTTGAAGGCTGGAAGGACTATAGCAGAAGGAGTAAATGTGACACTGTGAACTATGTAAGTGAAGACTAATGCTACGCAGGGTTGCAGTAAACATCTCTCGGCAGCGTTGCCTAGCAACGCCTCAGTCGGGCAACGGAAAACGCACGACGCTTCACTGTTGGGTAATCGCCGTGTTTACAGAGGCCTTGCTGGGCAACACTGCCGAGAGATGTTTACTGCAACGCTGCGTAGCAACCAACGCGCTTCGGTTCGGCTCGGCACGGCACGGACAAACACCGCTTTCCTTACTGTTGCGTAACTTCGTTCCATATCCCGTTGCCCAACAACGGTTTGACATGTGATAATATTGTAGAACCTCCTGGTTACTGGGCACATCTGCTTCCTTTAATGGGTGTGGTGTTTCATTCGCCCTGTGCACTTCTTCGGTATTTTAATTATGGAATACTAAAGTCACTAAAAGGCATTATGTGAAAACATGATAAGCTGGTACAAGATACTTCAAGTTGTCAAAAAGGTATACAATTTGCCAATAAGTTATTCTGACATTACGCTTCAAAGCCGGTATAGTAGAACCAGACGGGAAGTTCGTTGCTAGGCAATGACCGGTAAACACGTTACCGCACCAGGCACGCAACAATAGGGGGAATGCTGGAGGGGATGTTTTCTCCGGTCCGTGCCGAAGTTATATTAAGACCAGCGTTGCTAAGCCAAGCAATGAGTACGTGAAGACACAGCAGACCGGAAACACTTGGAGTGCTCTTTAGTTATTTGCGGAGTGTGCAGAACGGTGGAAGTGTTATAATTATTTGTGCGATACAGGAAGTTTGTTAAATTGGAAAAGAAATGCCTACATTCGCTTCTCCCTCCGTCGAATTAAGTTCATATCGAGACAGACGTTTTAAAGGTTCCGCTGGAGAACTAAAAAGACTTCTTCGAACGTCCTCTACTCTGTATGTTGGGAACCTTTCCTTCTATACCACAGAAGAACAAATATATGAACTGTTTTCAAAATGTGGAGATTTTAAAAGCGTAATTATGGGATTGGATAAAATCGAAAAGACGCCATGTGGATTTTGTTTTGTTGAGTACCACAGCCGATCAGATGCAGAAAATGCGATGCGGTATATCAACGGCACAAGGCTCGATGACCGTATCATTAGAACAGATTGGGATGCTGGCTTTGTCGAAGGG